ATATATATATATATATATATATGATATTTTTCATTCGAATGTAGGGCCTATCACAATAAATTCATCATCTCCTATCTGCTATTTATGTATTGTATTTTTTCTAGTTTTCTTATAATGCACGTGCCAACACACACACACACACACTATAATAGGCCCTATATATATATCAAGAGCGGATAATACGCTCTTGATATATATATATATACGCGCGCACACACACACGCGGGGCACACGCGCGCGCGGAGAGAGAGCGAGCGAGAGAGAGAGAGAGAGTGCACACACGCACGCCCGCAAACCACGCGCGCGCAGAGAGAGATGTTCGCACGACGCACGCACGCACACACACGCAACATGTACACACCAATGTGGTTATTCAGCGGAATCAACAGTGCCGGTCTAAGGTAAAGTGAGTTTGATGTAAATAAAGTATTATGTGCCAATATTTGCCAAAAATTTACGACCACGTAATGGTTAATGTATTTAATGACAAAGTTGAAATTTAAAAATTCGAAAAATTTAAATATATAGTAAAAATTTATGAATATTATAGTAAAAATACAATAATAAAATATAAATATGAATATAAACAAAAAATAAACATAAATCTAAATCTAAATAAATATAATAAAATAAACATAAATATTATAGTAAAAATTTAAAAATTCGTACGTCTAGTTGAATGTTCCTTTGTCAATTGTTATCGTACTATATTCAATGGCCGGTTGCTAGAACGACTCATAACAATAGTACTCCGCCGGTCATTTTGTAGTACAAAAACAGCAAAGTAAAGACATTATTGCTAGTTTTAAATGGCCGTAGAAAAAGTTTCTTATAATTGTGCTTTCTTATGAAAACATTTTTGTGCTGCCATTGGTTAAAAAACGACTGGCGCGCTATTTTGCATACACGCGCAAATGTATTGCCAGAGGTGTTGTGCGGATTTGCGCGATGAAAATGTACTGATTTCTCTCAAACGAAACATCGTCAAAGTACACATATTTCAGTACGAGTACGGTGTGTAGAATACCCAGAAAGGTAATAAAGATCATTACTCTGAGCTACGATAGGTCACTAGTAATAAATGGTCGCGCGTGATTCTTGGTTCCAATTCAATGTACTGGCTTGTAGTACTAGTCTATAGCTACCTTAGATGACTGGCTGTGGACTGTCGGCAGAGTAAGGATTTGTAAATTACTGGCCCATTCCGTAGGTTAACACATGTCGCGAAACTAATATATACAGTCAAATAGGATGAGCGAATACTGATTAAAAACCTAGTCAGCTGAGCAATCGAACGTCAGTGGCACCGTTGCGCACGTGAGACCTAGTACACACACTGACAGAGACAGGCACTTGCCTTACTTGGAGCCATTTCATTAATAAAATGATAGCGCTAAATAAAACACGAAATGTAATACTATCAAAGTCTAATGTTTCCCTACTCTTCTTTCGCTATTATTAGTCATAACTTATGTAAAGGGCGTGAGAGGCTCCTGCTACACAGACAGTTTCACCGCACGCTGTCGCGCCGTGCCACAAACAACAAAAAGTTGTTAGAGCAGGTGGGAAACTAGGATACAATAATGTAATCCAACCAGAGTCGTAGGGGTTACATAAGCTCTCCTCCTATTCTTCCTTGTCTTCTCTTCACTTTTTTGTACATCGGAGGATGATGCTCCCGAGTGAAATCACTCGGGGTCGTTTGCTGCATGGCGGCGTGCGGTTCATTGGGGGAGATCTAGAACTTCCAAACTGGGGTTTATCTCAACACGAACCTTTCTCGCTTATCTGGGAATCTTACTATGTATCGCCGTAATACTTACTCTTTTTTATATGTATTATCTAGTATTAACACCATTCACATTGCATTAACTCATATTTTGGTTGTTTGTTGACACACCGACGAGACAAGATTCGAGCGTGCGAGTGTACGAAGAGCGGACGACTTATGAGTCCTGTGTTGACGCGCCATTCCTCTTTTGTGAGCAGCATATGTGACGCGTCAAACACCGCAGCTTTCCCATTTACATAATGGCGTCCAATAATGCGATCGGCAAACGCAGCTGCCCTCGCATAATAATAAGTTGCGCGAATACGAGAGTGAATCGCCTGTTCGCAAGAACCCAATTAAGTACATCTTGTCACATTGGCGTTGTCAACAAGAGTAAATAAATGGCATGTTTTCTCAGTGTTTTATTTTTACTATCATTTTATTATTGAAACTTGCGTCCTCATTCACTAGTACATTACGTAAGTCCTTGTTTGTCTTGTCAGGTGTAGCAGGTTATATTAGTTTTAACGGTACTGGGTTCACCGTCAAAACGGAGTTATTGCGATACATATACGTAACGGTTTCGCCAGATAGCGGACTCCACTGACGAATTCGAGAAAGGTTCGTGTGTGAGAATTGTAAACCCCATCAGTTTGGCGTGACTACAGTATACAGTGGCGTAGACAGGTCCTCAGTTGTGGGGGGGGGGGATCATTTCGCTGATGTTCGGGCATTTTGTTGAAAGTAACACCTCTTCGATGCAATTTCCTGCACTATGAATCAGCACTATTAAACAATCTTCATCACAATATCATCACTGTTAAGTTGAGTATTTTTACCTTTGGGGACACCAAAGACTAAAATACTTACTACCAAATCTGTGCTATGTACATGTCCTCACTGGGGTTACCAGTGCAGACTTACCTGGGCTAAAATACCTTTGCCTTGAAAATGCTAGGGGGGGGGGGCGACCGCCCCGTGCTACCGACTCCCCGTTGACAACTATACAGCACTGGAATTATCTCCCCCTAAAATTTTGATAAAACATATTTTACTGAGAACGTTAAAACTGCAACAAAATATGAGAAAAACAACCAGATTTGAATCAAAAAGTGCATATTTTCACCCCTTATACAAAATCGGGAATATACTTACGGTCGGGTGTCAGCACCCCCCCCCAAAAGTGAGATGAAATTGAATTTTCCCATTCAATCCCCGTGAAAATTCAATATCCCAACTCTCAATAGGTCTATTCTAATTTTGAATAAAGCAAGGATTTAACTTTCGTGAGCAGTGATAAGTCTTTCGGGATTTTGAAAAAAACATTGTATATGGGGAATGCGTCCAAAATTAACCGTCTGAGTTTCGGTAAAATAATGTCATTCTTGGAACGAGTTACAGCTATTTTACAGTAGATGTATGTCACGTTCCATTTCTGTAATAATACATTAGGAGAGTATGAATAGCGATGACGGATTTGTAGATAAATACCCAGTATTTATTGTCTGTAAATTTTTCCCCATTTTCTTCCTGAAAGTAGGGGCGATGAAAGCCTCCCCACTCAATAAGTGATATACCCCCATCACCCCGCTATCTACGCCCCTCTCAGATGAAGTCAAATTTGACTTTTGATATGCATACAAATATTCATAATCATAATCTTTGTTAGCAGTACTCTACAGGCGCCGCGGAACGATTTTTGAAGTGAGGGTGATCAATTTGTTACGCTCGACAGTTGCCAATGCAGGTTTTTCGATGAGGGTGGTAAGAAACAGGCGAGGGTATGCGGGTCCTCCCCCAGAAAATTTTGAATCCCCCATTTTCCTCCTGAAAGTAGGGGGGGGGATGATTGTACACGCCATCCCCCCCACGTCAATAAGTGGGGGAGATGCATCCCCCCATCCCCCCCGCTATCTACGCCCCTGTATAATATATATATATGCGTACGTGCATGTACGCATGGGTGTGGACGGATTTATATGGGAGTGAGCGCGTGCCTGCCTTTGTGTTGGCTTTTCGTTGTGTGTGATTTGTTGCCTGTGCTGAGTGTTGTGCTTTAATTTTTTCTTTCCTTGTCAATTATTGTTCAGCTATGCGTCTGTGAGCGCTTTTCCTTTTCTGATAGTCTATCTATATATATATTTGGGACCTGCATATGTATATTTTGTATTGCGGTCTTCAGGCTCATGTGGACTCAGGGTAATTTTGCATGTAGTTTACTTATAATTTATTTATTTTTCATAACAACACTCATATATATTTTTGTATCTTCCAATCGTATTGTCATTCATGGTTCAAGTCTTGAATCAACTTTAAGTAACTAACTGTAATTAGCGGAGTGGCTGACTTGAAGACTGTAGTCAATTCGCCCTCCCTCGCTGTATTTATTTAAAAAAACTTGTTGTGATATATGTAACAATGTAATATACTTGAAAGCGTAAATAAATTTCAAAATCTAAATCTAAAAATCTAAAATCTGGGAGTGCGTACGAGTGTTGAAATTACTTAATGAAAGTGTCAATGACACTGTAGCTCACCACAAAAAAGGACACAAATGAGTGAGTGAGAAGAAGTCAGTTTTAATTGAGCAACCATCGACGTACATTATAGAAACGAAGAGTATATATGGGAGAACTCCCATTATATACTCTTGATAATAATATTATACGTGTAATTTTTATGTGAAAATAATAAATAATATTATATATAAATTATAAATAATTTATAAACCAAAATGAATCACAATTTGTGACGGTAGATGGGGCTATACCCGCTTTGATGTTTCTTAGCATAAATCATTATATCATAATAATAATAATATAATAAGAATAGTATAAATCATAATATGTTCATAGCAGAAATTTTGCATTAAAGATATTGTCAATGAAATCTTGTAAAACGAACCAGACGAGTGTGACACCACAGACTGTTTGTTATCTACGTGTCTATATAATATGCTATATAATTGCCAAACCCTACCTAATTTGCATAATTTTTTTTTAAATATCAAAACCCCTTGCCCCTATTCATTCACATACCAAAAATGAGCAAAATCCGTTGAACCTGAACTGACTAATGGCAATTCCCATTTTTGCCAAAAAATTGCCGTGGCTCGAAAGTACGTAGACTGGCGTGCTCCAAAATAGGACGTTTAATATGGGAGCATAGCAGTAACAACTATACCCAATTTCAAACATGTGGGTCAAACGGTTCCCGAGTTATTGTTGAACGTAGCCAAATGTTGACGGACGGACGGACGGACGACGACCCATGGCAATAGCTCAGCTTGACGATGTCAAGGTGAGCTAAAAATGTACTTGTACAGCAAGTATACACTGGCGTTTTTGTATTATAATTTGTGTGCGTGTTGTATAGCGCTGTTTTGTCATTGCATTAAAATTTTATTATTTTAACCGCTCAACACTATTGCATCTATAAGAATTTTGTTGTTCATAGAAGATTGTCTTTAGTACATGTATTTGTATTTGAATTACTCGGATTACTCTTATTGCAATACTTCGGATGCTTCCCTAGGTAAACAGTTATTAGCAAGACTTCTGACATTTGACCTATTATTACCTACATGGTTTTATATGTATCATGCAAATATAGCTATACTCCAACAGAAATATATGGGATGATATTTACGCGACGTGGTAATAATAGTGATGTCAGATAAAGCAAACATGGTAGGCAAAAAAACGACAACTATTCGTGTATTAACAATTATTATTAAAAGTAATCCCAATACGACCACTTTTGTTAACAACTCCATGTAATGTCATTATTTATTATGCAAGGTAAACACTCTATTAACAATGACTAGTGTAAAATCAATAACAATAACAACAAACCTCTGAAACATTGGCCAACCATAGGAACAATGTTAAATGTTTAGGCTTTCAATCTGGTATACAGATCAAAAGTAACACAAAGGGATCACCTACACTGAAACAAGCCTATTATCTAGCCAGTAATAGTAATAGTTTTATCTAGCAATCCCCAATAAATGTAGACATATTACATCAGGAGTCTATCAATAGCTATTGATAGACTCCTGATTACATGGTCAATGGCAGTCAACTTCTCAGAACACAACACGCAGGTGGCTTTGCCCACCCAAGACAAAATGGGTTAGCAAATGGTTTCTATAATATATTGTTACACATTGCCTAGCAACTTTATAATATGGCAACACTGAAATCATAACTATTAAATTAGTGAAAGGACAACTGCGTAACTATCCAGTAGCATGCACATGTAACACAAGCAACCACAAAGCTCTTTCAGTAACATTTATCATCCTGATGCACTGGCAGTGGCGTCACAAGGGGGGTGCGGAACGCACCGGGTGACACCATCAGAGAGGGTGATTTTAATTTTGCTAGTTTATGTCACTGTGTGACCACCACACCGTGTGACACCAACCCTAGTGACGCCGCTGTGCACTGGTCTTCATTTATGTAATGACTGTCGGTTTCTGTCGGCCAGTCAACTCTCTCAGCTGTGACATTTGCAGAGCGATCTCCACCAGCGGTTTAAGCATGTCCTAAAACAGATACACTGCCATCACTGATCCTACAGCATAAAAGTTCGAACATGTCGAACAGGATAACATAACATATTTTTGTTATAAAACCACTTATAGATGCGTCCACTCAATTTAAACAAAAAGGTAACCGAGTCTGTGCATTGATTCTGTGTAGTGAAAATTATTATCGTGAGAAAGTCCAAGATTCACGTGAAATGACAGGGGAAATCAAAACGAGTAATCAAAATTCAAACCGTGCACATTTTGCTGAATATAGCAATGTAAAAAGGTTCTAAGACATGTTACTGTACTCTAGACAGTTGCTGTCACTCAAGCAATAATGGTAAGTATCGGAAGTCAGGAAAACATGAGAATGGTCAAAAATTCTTTTTGAAATCATTGCTTTAGACTATAGTAGAGCCAAAAACACTGACCGGGGTGCCAGTATCATACCTGTGCATCCAGACAGTGCTTGGTAGAATCGGCTTCGTAACTATCGATGTACATGCGAATGGTGGCGCCACTGCTGCCAGTACCGCTCAACCTAAAGACGATTCGTGACCCATCTTCGAAGATGATGCGAATTCCCTAGGAAGCAAATGTGACCAAATTATTCTGGTGGGAATACAGAGTACTTGTAGCGATATGAAGAAGTGTGAGGCTAGTTGCAGTTGTTATTGCAAATGTACATTTTTCAAGTAAATAAAAGGTAAATGTTCAGCGATGGTTAGAGTGAAAAGGTCTATTAACAAGACAGTTAATCTTTTTCACTTAAATATCTTTAGCATAAGGAGAGGTTAGCCTTTTTAAAATTATATTGGAAATAAAACTATCTAGTGTTTGTATGAATATCAATCTACACACAAAGGTTTGCCCGTAACATAAATTATTATCGCAATACATAGGTAGCACATTTCATTGACTATATTTACTGTTAGAGCAGATTTAATGTTTGCAAACTTATTAAACTCTTATCAATGCATCGAAATTGAAGCTATAATAAACAGAAGCGATGTTGGTATAGGCCATTCGTCCAAGTACCTGCTTCTTTGCCACACTGCCATCTATTGGATCAGTGTACTCGAAGTTATCGGCTTTAGCTACTTTGAAAGCCTTGTCTCCATGATTGAAGCCTCGGCCGATGAGGGACGCATCCTCAATGAGTTTGCCAAGATTCGTCATCATCTTGTTGGCCGGCTCAGATTCGACATTCTCATAGTCGTACCTTTGCGCAGAATTCAAATACGTTAATTGCAGCTCTGTCTGAACTCACGCTGGTTCTAATATTACACCGGCAGTGACCAAAAACAAATTAGTGGTTACACTTGATAGTACGGGGAAAAAAACATCAACCAGATGAAATCGATTCAGACAACACAGTACCATTTTAGTACATCGGAAATCACAGCAGTACGTTCTAGCACTGTTCAAACCTGTGTATCCAATCCAATCTATTAATAATATCCAATTTACGACTATTCGAATACCTGGTAAAGAAGTTTCTGCCATATGTTGCCCAGTGGTTCTTTAGAATCTCCTCTACACTCTGCTGCTTTGATGCTAAGACCGATAGCCAAGCTAGGCAGGCCCACAGCCCATCTTTCTCTCTAAAATGGTAGACCGACAAAATAAAATGATTTCATTAACATGAATTAGACATCATTTGATGAGAAGAATTACATACATTCATTGCTAACAAAGAAATAATTGAGATAGAGAATGACAATTAAAAAGTGACAGTTTTTGACTGGTATATAGAAAGGACTTGGAATATATAACTGAATAGTAAGAGGACTTTACCTCTAGCATAATATCACAGACAATGTATAATATATAATAAACTAGAAAGGGCAGTTGTCGCCAACTACATGTATCCCCCGTGTTCTCCCCAAGATGTGTAAGTATACGAAGTTTGGTCGCATGAGGTCAATTAGGGGCCGAGTTATAGAGCGGAAGGGAAATATGATGAAGGTCAAGGTCAAGGTCAATGTCAAATAAAGGTTGCAGTGACCTGGTTTCGGTACGCGACACACCTTCTCCCCAAGATGTGTAAGTATACCAAGTTTGGTTGCGCTAGGTCAATTAGGGGCCGAGTTATAGAGCTCTCTTGGGTTTGGGTTACATTATTGTATCTAGTTTCCCACCTGCTCTACAATTTTGTTGTTTGTGCACCGCGACAGGCGTGCGGTGAACTTGTCTGTTGTAGAGGAGCATCTCAACGCCCTTTACATAAAGTTATGACTAATAATAGGCGAAAGAGAGTAGGGAAACATTAAGACTTTGGTAGTAAATACATTTCGTGTTTATTTACTATCATTTTATTATTGAAATGCTCCAAGTACAAGTGCCTGTCTCTGTCAGTGTGTGTACTAGGTCTCAACCGTCAACGGTCCACTGACGATTCGATTGCTCAGCTGACTAGGTTTTTAATCAGTAATTCGCTCAATCCTAGTTTGACTGTATATATAGTTCGCACATGTGTTAACCTAGGAATGGGCCCAGTAATTACAAATCCATACTCTGCCGGACAGTCACAGCCAGTCAGTAAGGTAAGTATATGACTAGTACTAAAGCCAGTACATTGAATTGGAACCAAAATCACGCGACCATTTATTACTTTGACTATCGTAGCTCAGAAGTATTATCTTATTACCTTTCTGGGTATTCCTACACACCGTACTCGTACTTGAAATATGTGTACTTTGACGATGTTTCGTTTGAAGAAATCAGTAAACTTTTCATCGCGCCAAAATCCGCACAACACCTCTGGCAATACATTTGCGCGTGTATGCAAAATAGCGCGCAGTCGTTTTTTAACCAATGCAGCACAAAAATGTTTTCATAAGAAAGCACAATATTAAGAAACTTTTTTCTACGGGCCATTTAAAACTAGCAATATAATGTCTTTACTTTGCTGTTTTTGTACTACAAAATTGACCGGCGGAGTACTATTGTTATGAGTCTTCTAGCAACCCGGCCATTGAATATAGTACGATAACAATTGAGCAAAGGAAACATTCAACTAGACGTACGAATTTTTAAATTTTTACTATAATATTTATGTTTATTTTATTATATTTATTTAGATTTAGATTTATGTTTATTTTTTGTTTTATATTCATATTTATATTTTATTATATTGTATTTTTTACTATAATATTCATAAATTTTTACTATATATTTTAAATTTTTCGAATTTTTAAATTTCAAACTTTGTCATAAAATACATTAACCATTACGTGGTCGGTAAATTTTTGGCAAATATTGGCACATAATACTTTATTTACATCAAACTCAACTTTACCTTAGACCGGCACTGTTGATTCCGCTGAATAACCACATTGGTGTGTACATGTTGCGTGTGTGTGCGTGCGTGCGTGCGTGCGAACATCTCTCTCTGCGCGCGCGTGTTTGCGGGCGTGCGTGTGTGCATCTCTCTCTCTCTCTCTCGCTAATTAATAGTGATGTCAGATAAAGCAAACATGGTAGGCAAAAAAAACGACAACTATTCGTGTATTAACAATTATTATTAAAGTAATCAATACGACCACTTTTGTTAACAACTCCATGTAATGTCATTATATATTATGCAAGGTAAACACTCTATGACAATGACTAGTGTAAAATCAATAACAATAACAACAAACCTCTGAAACATTGGCAACCATAGAACAATGTTAAATGTTTAGGCTTTCAATCTGGTATACAGATCGAAAAGTAACACAAAGGGATCACCTACACTGAAACAAGCCTATTATCTAGCCAGTAATAGTAATAGTTTTATCTAGCAATCCCCAATAAATGTAGACATATTACATCAGGAGTCTATCAATAGCTATTGATAGAGACTCCTGATTACATGGTCAATGCGCAGTCAACTTCTCAGAACACAACACGCAGGTGTCTTTGGCCCACCAAGACAAAATGGTTTAGCAAATGGTTTCTATAATATATTGTTACACATTGCCTAGCAACTTTAATAATATGGCAAACTGAAATATAACTATTAAATTAGTGAAAGGACAACTGCGTAACTATCCAGTAGCATGCACATGGTAACACAAGCAACACACAAAGCTCTTTCAGTAACATTTTCATCCTGATGCACCTGGCAGTGCGTCACAAGGGGGGTGCGGACGCACCGGGTGACACCATCAGAGAGGGTGATTTTAATTTGTTAGTTTATGTCACTGTGTGACCACCACACCGTGTGACACCAACCTAGTGACGCCGCTGTGCACTGGTCTTCATTTATGTAAGACTGTCGGTTTCTGTCGGCCAGTCAACTCTCTCAGCTGTGACATTTGCAGAGCGATCTCCACGCAGCGTTTAAGCATGTCTAAAACAGATACACTGCCATCACTTGATCCTACAGCATAAAAGTTCGAACATGTCGAAACAGGATAACATAAATATTTTTGTTATAAAACCACTTATAGATGCCTCACTCAATTTAAACAAAAAGGTAACTGAGTCTGTGCATTGATTCTGTGTAGTGAAAATTATTATCGTGAGAAAGTGCCAAGATTCACGTGAATGAGCAGGGGAAATCAAAACGAGTAGATCAAAATTCAAACGCGTGCACATTTTGCTGAATATAGCAATGTAAAAAAGTTCTAAGACATGTTACTGTACTCTAGACAGTTGCTGTCACTCAAGCAATAATGGTAAGTATCGGAAGTCAGGAAAACATGAGAATGGCTCAAAAATTCTTTTTGAAATCATTGTTTAGACTATAGTAGAGCCAAAAACACTGACGGCGGGTGCCAGTATCATACCTGTGCATCCAGACATGCTTGTAGAATCGGCTTCGTAACTATCGATGTACATGTGCGAATGGTGGCGCCACTGCTGCCAGTACCGCTCACCTAAAGACGATTCGTGACCATCTTCGAAGATGATGCGAATTCCCTAGAAGCAAATGTGACCAAATTATTCTGGTGGGAATACAGAGTACTTGTAGCGATATGAAGAAGTGTGAGGCTAGTTGCAGTTGTTATTGCAAATGTACATTTTTCAAGTAAATAAAAGGTAAATGTTCAGCAGATGGTTAGAGTGAAAAGGTCTATTAACAAGACAGTTACTTTTTCACTTTAAATATCTTTAGCATAAGGAGAGTTAGCCTTTTTAAAATTATATTGGAAATAAAACTATCTAGTGTTTGTTTATTGAAATATCAAATCTACACACAAAGGTTTGCCCGTAACATAAATTATTATCGCAATACATGAGGTAGCACATTTCATTGACTATATTTACTGTTAGAGCAGATTTAATGTTTGCAAAACTTATTAAACTCTTATCAATGCATCCGAAATTGAAGCTATAATAAAACAGAGCGATGTTGGTATAGGCCATTCGTCCAAGTACCTGCTTCTTTGCCACACTGCCATCTATTGGGATCAGTGTACTACGAAGTATCGCTTTAGCTACTTTGAAAGCCTTGTCTCCATGATTGAAGCCTCGGCCGGATGAGGGACGCATCCTCAATGAGTTTGCAAGATCGTCATCATCTTTGTTTGCCGCTCAGATTCGACATTCTCATAGTCGTACCTTTGCGCAGATTTCAAATACGTTAATTGCCAGCTCTGTCTGAACTCACGCTGGTTCTAAATATTACACCGGCAGTGACCAAAAACAAATTAGTGCTTACACTTTGATAGTACGGTGGAAAAAAAACATCACCAGATGAAGATCGATTTCAGACAACACAGTACCATTTTAGTACATCGGAATCACAGCAGTACGTTCTAGCACTGTTCAAACCTGTGTATCCAATCAATCTATTAATAATATCCAATTTACGACTATTCGAATACCTGGTAAAGAGAGTTTCTGCCATATGTTGCCCAGTGGTTTCTTTAGAATCTCCTCTACACTCTGCTGCTTTTGATGCTAAGACCGAAGCCAAGCTAGGCAGGCCCACACGCCCATCTTTCTCTCTAAAATGGTAGACCGACAAAATAAAATGATTTCCATTAACATGAATTAGACATCATTGATGAGAAGAATTACATACATTCATTGCTAACAAGAAATAATTGAGATAGAGAATGACAATTAAAAAGTGACAGTTTATTGACCTGCGTATTAGAAAGGACTTGGAATATATAACTGGAATAGTAGAGGACTTTACATCTAGCATAATATCAACAGACAATGTATATATATATAATAAACGCTACGAAAGGGCAGTTTGTCGCCAACTACATGTATGCCCCGTGTTTCCCCAGATGTGTAAGTAAATACGAAGTTTTTTTTGGTCGCATGAAGGTCCAAATGTAGGGCGAGTTTATAGTAGCGGAAGGGAAATAGTGATGAAGGTCAGGTCAGGGAGGTCAAATGTCAAATAACGGTTGCGACGTGACCTGGTTTTCGGTACGGCGACACACCGTTGGCTCCCAAGATATAGTGTAAGTATACGCAAGTTTGGTTGCGCTAGTCAATTGGGGCCGAGTTATGAGAGCGGAAGGGAAATAATGGATCAAGGTCAAGGTCAATAAAAAAGCCGGCAGTGACCATGGTTTTTGGGTACGCGAGGCACACATTCTGCCCAAGATTGTGTAACTAAGGTCTACCAAGTTTGGGTAGTAGCTAGTACAATTAGGGGGCCCGAGTTATAGAGCGGAAAGGAAATATGATCAAGGTCAACGGTAATGTCAAATAAAGGGTCGTAGTGACCTGGTTTTCGGTATGCGAACACCTTTCTTCCGCAAGATTTTGTAAGTATATTCCAAGTTTGGTAGCGCTGAGTCAATTAGGGCCGAGTATAGAG